CCCTTAGTCTTCCCAAACAAGGCTTAAGTGATAAAATCTAATTAAAAAAAAGGAAATCTTTGGTGTCTCAAATTGAGCTACTTCAAATGGCTTGAATTTGTGTTCACCGATCGACCGGCTGAACAACCACCTAGACGACCAGGTGAAGCACTTGTCTACCGCAATTGTCACCTTGTCGACCGTGGCTATCAACCTTTTTACCGAACAACCGGCCGGACGACCGACAAAACAAAATTCGAGCCATTTGAAGTAAGATCAAATTCGAAGTACGTTACATTGCTCTTTAAAAAAATACATTAAGTATGTCAACTGAACATTTTTAGCGAGATTGTATTCTAATTTATCATTTTAGAATCAAATATCTATTAAAGTAATTTTTAATTAAAAAAATAACACGATTATATTATTTTAATACAAAATTTTGTAAAATTTTTTTTAAATAGTATTTTTCTAAATTTAATAATAAGTTCACGGATAAATTACACATACACCTAATGAGATTTGCTTAAAGTACAAATTGTCTTATGTGGTTTGGAAAATTACAAATACTTCCTTGTTGGTATTTTTTATTTAACAGAATTAATTAAAAAATAAAATTCATAATTGCTCTCCTATATACTAATAAAATCACCTAAATTATTAATTACAACATATTTCTAATATTATTAAAAAAAATTAATTGACTTGATGATTTATTAATAAAATAGGTAATTTATTATGAAATTAAAAACCTCATGAAATAGAATGAAATTTCTAAAACTATAAAAGGACGATTCATATTTTAATCAAATATCAAAAAATATATTTATAATTTACCTAATTAAAATACAATTAAAAAATTTAGGCCAGCAAAATCTATTTTAGGGCCCACTTTTAAATGAGTGTGGATCCACTTGCATGTGCCGAGTGTGGTACAATTTTCAGTCCATTTCAGTCCTTTAATAATAAAATAATAGTACATTATCCGCGTTCTAGCTAGATCCACCTATACCTCTAAATTTTTCCAAAAAAAATTGAAAAAAAAAAACTAAAAAATTGTTGATTAACGGGCTATTTTTTTATTTAACAGAATTAATTAAAAAATAAAATTCATAATTGCTCTCCTATATACTAATAAAATCACCTAAATTATTAATTACAACATATTTTTAATATTATTTAAAAAAATTAATTGACTTGATGATTTATTAATAAAATAGATAATTTATTATGAAATTAAAAACCTCATGAAATAGAATGAAATTTCTAAAACTATAGAAGGACGATTCATATTTTAATCAAATATCAAAAAATATATTTGTAATTTACCTAATTAAAATACAATTAAAAAATTTAGGCCAGCAAAATCTATTTTAGGGCCCACTTTTAAATGAGTGTGGATCCACTTGCATGTGCCGAGTGTGGTACAATTTTCAGTCCATTTCAGTCCTTTAATAATAAAATAATAGTACATTATCCGCGTTCTAGCTAGATCCACCTATACCTCTAAATTTTTCCAAAAAAAATTGAAAAAAAAAAACTAAAAAATTGTTGATTAACGGGCTATTTTGAGAAGATGGTTATAATCAATTTTTTGATAAAAAATTACTTATAAATAGTTTTTTTGTAAGAGAGGAAGTGGGTTATAATCTAGAAAGTGGATTATGGCCCTGTTTGGTAGGGCTTATTTCTAACTTATTTCAGTTTTTAGCTTAATTTAAACTATTTTAATGTGTTTGGTTCAGCTTAACAATACAGCTTATAGCTTTTTGTAAGTCAAAAATCAACTTATTCTTTGAGTGAGGGGAGAGAAGCTTAATTTATAAGTCAAAATCTGTTTATGTTCACAGTTATAAGCTATAAGCTGTTAAGGTATAAGTTATAATCACTTTCTCACAGTTCTACCAAACGAAACGTATAACCCACTTTCAAAAATAGGCCGGACTATAATAAAGTCAATAATATTCAGAAAATACATGATGTCAATATAGAGTCATGTGTATGTATGTTGCATCAATTGTTTCTTCACTAACAACAAAACTTCATTAAGAGAACTCTATACGCAAATTTCTTCACTAACAACAAAACTTCATTAAGAGAACTCTATACGCAAACATGGAAAATTAAAAAGAAAAAAAAAAAAAGAAAGAAAAGCTTTGACTAGAGAAAGAAAACAACGAAAGCATAATTAAATTAGGAGGTTATTTGAAATTATCTAAATAAATATAATTTTTAATTTTTTACGAAAAAATATAAAAAAATAATGTAATTAAAAAAAATAAATTATTTAAGAAATGTCCAACCACCCCTAAATTATGGCTAGAAGCAAACAAAGTGACAATGTTGTACCAAATGGTCACAAGTTTGAGACATGATTGGACCCACTTGAAGCTGACGTATCAACAAGCCTGGCATCCGCACCGCACCAAGGATCTTCTAGAGTGAAATTTCTCTAAAATTTCCTAAAGTGCTACAGTGTATGGTTGAGATTTATTGGCAAGTCACATCAGAAAAATTGATGTGACTTGTCAGTAAAAAAATAATGTAATTAAAAAAAATAAATTATTTAAGAAATGTCCAACCACCCCTAAATTATGGCTAGAAGCAAACAAAGTGACGATGTTGTACCAAATGGTCACAAGTTTGAGACATGATTGGACCCACTTGAAGCTGACGTATCAACAAGCCTGGCATCGGCACCGATAGCCATATGCCTCTCTCAATGCCAAAAATTAAAATTAAAATTAAAATATATCTTGAACTGTAACAATATTGTTCATTTTTAGTTAGGTTAAAATGCATTGTTAGGGTTAGTTTGGTATAAATTAAATAATACAAAAATTTAAAAAGTTATTATCCTATTTAAGTCGCATTATCTTATTTAAATCACATCATCTCTCTAACACATCACATCAAACCCAACTCAAACCTAACCCAACCCATATAAGTTAATAAGTCAAAAAATGTACTTTTTTAGAACATCCCAAACCAACCCTTAATAGAAAGAAATATAAACTCACTTATGTAGATTATAATTTTTTTCTTTTTTTTAAAAGTTTTTTTATTGATAAATCCATTTTAGAGTTATTGTAACCCATTAAATTTATAAAGAATTATTATAACCTAATTAATCTCATCTTCTTTTCTTTTTATTTCATCAGATCCATTTTACTAATTTTATATTTTTAAATAAACTATTATGACCTTATATATATATATATATATATTGTGTTGATACACAAACGACGTTATCTTTTTTTTCGTTTATTCTGTTTTGGTAGTTTCTATATTCACGCTTTTGATCATCATTCTAATTCAGATGGATACATTTCTATTTTTCATGCTCGTTTTAAAGCTTTGGTGTGCTAGGGTTTCATTGTTGCTGTTGTAGTATGGTTTGGTGATTTTGGAGTAAAGACGACGGATTAGACGGTGTTTGGTTGTGACATTTTCTAGAGTATAACTAGTTTAAATCAGTTGTTTTCAAGTTACAGGACGAGTGTAGGATTGCATGATTAAAGTTAGTGTCATTTTCGTTATGAATGCATTTTCAGTTTATGTTTTGATTTGTATGATGGATGAAATGCTCTGTTTTTTTATTGAGGATCGGATGCTCTGTTTGTTTAATTATATGCATTTTACATGGGCCTGTAGAGGGGAGGTCGTTCAGATTATGTGAAGAATGTGGATGTTTTCATTTTATTTTGATGTTTGCTTAATAAGGCTCTGTGTGGGAAAGATAATTCATAGTAGATGTAACAATGTCAATGTTCACTTCTTGTTAATATAAGGTTATGGAGGGTTGCTTGCATGTTGTGTAATGTCATATTATTGTGGTGTTGTGATTTTGAACTTGTAAAATATTTTATGTTGTGCAAGGATGGTGGTAGTAGTTTTCACTATGGGTTTAGAAGTAAAACTGTACACATAGACATTTAGTTTACACAATGTGAATGTTCATATAGTATGGATTATTATATGTATTGTTGTTCGTATGGTTGTGTGGTTGTTGACTTTTGTTTTGTTGTGTTTTTATAGGAGATGGATACCTTTATGATGTTGGTGTGCACATATCGTTACAGTACAATTGTAATAAATGTGGTTCGTGCATTGTGTTATTCGCGTTTAGTGGAGCGGTTGTGTAAAAAGTGGGGTGAGTTGTCTGCTTGTTCTATTTCATTGTTCCGTCGACTACCTGGGATTAATAGATGTGATTTAGGCAATGACGAAGAATTTCAAAACATGTCATTGCTTGCCAAATCAATGGGGTTACACCATGTAAAGGTTGTCGTTGATTTGAAACGTGATATTGGTCAGTCGAGTAGCTCTGGGTCGCTGCATGTGGGGGGTGAGGAAGAAATTGATGCACTCCAGAGATTTTGCTTGTTCTATTTCATTGTTCCGTCGACTACCTGGGATTAATAGATGTGATTTAGGCAATGACGAAGAATTTCAAAACATGTAATTGCTTGCCAAATCAATGGGGTTACACCATGTAAAGGTTATCGTTGATTTGAAACGTGATATTGGTCAGTCGAGTAGCTCTGGGTCGCTGCATGTGGGGGGTGAGGAAGAAATTGATGCACTCCAGAGATTTTGCCACCATAAGGAGAAGGTGTTGTTGTCAGCCCCTTGGGCAAATGGTATTACGCATGTGGGACAATGGTTTGTTGGAGGTGTACAAGAATTTCATGATGTTTTATGTAAGTATGCAATCCAATGCGGGTTTCAATTTATCTATGTCAAGAACGAGACAACAAGGGTTACTGCGGTATGTGCAATACACAAGGGAAAAGGTTGTGTGTGGTCTATACATTGTAGAGCACAACAAGCAAATGGTTTTTTTCTATATCAAGAGGTTCAGTGATGTGCATAGTTGTGGTACGGATGTCCGAACATCAAAGATTCTGAGAGTGAGTTCTGATTTGGTGTCGAGTACTATTTCTGAAATTGTGAGGGACAAGCCGTTGACTCGGTCGTGTGAGGTGGTGACTATTTTGAAGAGGGATTATGGGCTAGATATGAGTTACCACGTGGTATGGTTGGGCGTGGAGAAAGCAAATGCTATTATTTATGGAGATCACTTATTATCGTTTGACCAGCTGCAGTGGTATTCGGATGCTATGATGCGTTACAATCCGGGGAGTTATGTCTATATTGATTATGACACAAGAAGTCAACAGTTTTGTCATTTCTTTGTATCATTCGCTACGTGTATTTCTGGATACAATTCTTGTCGGCCTTTGCTATTCCTAGGTGGAACATTCCTTAAACGAAAGTACAAAGGTCAGCTACTTGTGGCAACGGCGAAAGATGGAAACAATGGTTAGTATTTTTTTTTAGCTATATATCTATGTAAATATTCACATTGAGTGGCACAATGTAGATATATGACTGACCATTACACAGTGTGAACATTTACATGACCTGGTTTCTTTATAGTGTTTCTGTAAACTACTTGTGCCAATATTCACATTGGAATATTGTGATCAGTTGGGTTAATGGTGTTTTGTTGTAGGTCTATTCCATGTTACATTTGTGATTGTTGATTCAGAGACCACAGCCAATTGGTCGTGGTTCTTGCACAAACTTGGAAAGGTTGTTGATGGTAAGCGCCAGATTACTTTTATTTCGAATTGTAATCTTGGTCTGCTAGAAGCTATGCCAAAGGTGTTCCCATCAACTCACCACGGTTATTGCTTACAACACTTGAAGAGCAATTTAAGATACCGGATGAAAAGAATTGATAATGGATTTAGGGATCACCTAGTTAGTAGTTTAGGTGACTGTGCTTACGAGCCAACTGTGGTAGGGTTCCATAAAAAGCTTGAGAAATTAAAAGAGGAGGGTAAGCAACGAGCATTTAATTTTTTCAAGGACTTAGCACCTGAGCACTGGGCAAATTCGTACTTCAGGTAATAGTAGTTTCCTAATGTATTCCATTTGTCAAGTTCAGAATGGTAGCGGTATGAATTTTCAGTTATGTTTTGTGGCAATGTGAAATTTCATATTCAGTTTCGAAGAAATTAAATTCAGTATTGTACAATGTTTGTGATATTGTGCAGGGCATGCGTTATGCAGAGATAACATCCAATGCAGCGAAGTCATTTAATAATTGGATTAAAGAAGCACGCAATCTTCCTATCACTCAAATGGTAGACACAATTCGTACTCAGTTGATGCGGCAAATGTCTGCACGACGTGACCAAGAAAACAAGTGGAATGAGCTTATTTGTCCTACATTCAAAACAATGCTTCTTGATTTGTTCAACAACAGCAGGTCTTGGCAAGTTAGCAAGCCAATGAGAATGTGTTTGAAGTTCATTCGATACCATCTATTACAGTTGATATTGCAAGGCGTACGTGTTCTTGCTTCAACTGGCAAATCAACGGATTCCCATGTGACCATGTTGTGATTGCTATTCAGAAGAGCCGCTACAATCTCAATGATTGTGTGAAACATTACTTTCATGTAGAGACATATCGTGCAGCCTATTGGGGTGCCATATTCCCTATACCATCGGTAGAAAAGCCGCCTTTTGATCCCACGGACTTCACTATATACCCACCAACTGTGAAAAGATCTCCAGGAAGGCCGAAAAAGAATAGAATCCCATCAAGGGGTGAGAAACTTAAGCAAATAAGGTGCGGGAGATGTGATAAGTTTGGAAGCCATAATCAGAAATCATGCAATGAGCCGATATAGGGTGTACATTTTTCATTTCAACATTGTGTTTCACATGGGATTCTTATATTGATTTTTGAAATAAGATTGTGTTGTGTTGGCAAACATTGTGTTGCAATAAGATTACGTTGTGTTGGCAAACATAATAATGGTTTGGCAAACTTAGTATTTGATTTGTGTTTTTTCTTTTCTTTTTGGGTACCAAACTAATATTTTGTTGATGTTTTAATGATGAATACATGACGTGAACATTCACACTTGCGTAAAAGAATCATATTATGTGAATACTCGCACATGGGTTGAACTTTTTTACACTATTGTTGTCAATGTTGACATGAATATAAACTGTGATGTGAAATTTCATATGCATAGAGATTGACATAGTGTGAACATTTACAACTGTTATGAATAAGAACAAATATGAATATTCACACCTGTGTATGTTATTCGTAATGATGCCATGTAGACAATGTGAACATTCCTGCACAAAATATGTGTATTATAGAACAATCGGGTTCAAACAATCACCAAATGTAGATCAAAATTCACAAGTGGCTTTTTCTCATTAATAGATGTTGTATCATTGATTTACAATCAATTGTTGTATCAAAATGTCAAAGCAATTGATATTAACATTCATATCGAGTGTTGGTTAGTTTGTATGTGGACACCCCCTACCTATAAGTTTTAATGATGCTCTATTTTCTTATGATTCAAGTTCAACAACAGCAGGTCTTGGCAAGTTAGCAAGCCAATGAGAATGTGTTTGAAGTTCATTCGATACCATCTATTACAGTTGATATTGCAAGGCGTACGTGTTCTTGCTTCAAATGGCAAATCAACGAATTCCCATGTGACCATGTTGTGATTGCTATTCAGAAGAGCCGCTACAATCTCAATGATTGTATGGAACATTACTTTCATGTAGAGACATATCGTGCAGCCTATTGGGGTGTCATATTCCCTATACCATCGGTAGAAAAGCCGCCTTTTGATCCCACGGACTTCGCTATATACCCACCAACTGTGAAAAGATCTCCAGGAAGGCCGAAAAAGAATAGAATCCCATCAAGGGGTGAGAAACTTAAGCAAATAAGGTGCGGGAGATGTGATAAGTTTGGAAGCCATAATAAGAAATCATGCAATGAGCCGATATAGGGTGTACATTTTTCATTTCAACATTGTGTTTTACATGGGATTCTTATATTGATTTTTGAAATAAGATTGTGTTGTGTTGGCAAACATTGTGTTGCAATAAGATTACGTTGTGTTGGCAAACATAATAATGGTTTGGCAAACTTAGTATTTGATTTGTGTTTTTTCTTTTCTTTTTGGGTACCAAACTAATATTTTGTTGATGTTTTAATGATGAATACATGACGTGAACATTCACACTTGCGTAAAAGAATCATATTATGTGAATACTCGCACATGGATTGAACTTTTTTACATTATTGTTGTCAATGTTGACATGAATATAAACTGTGATGTGAAATTTCATATGCATAGAGATTGACATAGTGTGAACATTCACAACTGTTATGAATAAGAACAAATATGAATATTCACACCTGTGTATGTTATTCGTAATGATGTCATGTAGACAATGTGAACATTCCTGCACAAAATATGTGTATTATAGAACAATTGGGTTCAAACAATCGCATAAATTATGCACATCACAACACATCAATATATCATAAATGAATATGAACATTCACATCAGTGGTACAACTGTGAACATTCACATCTATAAAACATAAGTGCATATGAACATTCACATTAATGGTACAGATGTGAATGTTCACATTTGGCAAAGATGAATAACATTCACAACTGTTATGAATAAGAACAAATGTGAATATTTACACATGTGTATGTTATCCGTAATGATGTCATGCAGACAGTGTGAACATTCCTGCACAAAATATGTGTATTATAGAACAATCGGGTTCAAACAATCGCATAAATTAACATAACAACACCAAATGTAGATCAAAATTCACAAGTGGCTTTTTCCCATTAATAGATGTTGTATCATTGATTTACAATCAATTGTTGTATCAAAATGTCAAAGCAATTGATATTAACATTCATATCGAGTGTTGGTTAGTTTGTAGGTGGACACCCCCTACCTATAAGTTTTAATGATGCTCTATTTTCTTATGATTCAAAAAACTATATACTAATAAGTCTCGTAGTCCACACCATTCAGAACTAGTGAGGCTGCCAACAATTTCTTCATGGTATATGTGCACCCGCATGATGTAACATACTGCAGGTCCGCAGTCCACCCTATAAATGCAAAATGGTTTTGATTAGCACTTGACATGTATGTTTGCATAATGGTTATGGACAATTTATAAAAAATGTAGTGAGGCTTACGAGTCGTCGTCCTGTCGAGGACAGACATCAACTGATATGATTAGTTGTGACGGATATTGGCCTACTAACTTAGTCCATAGCGGTGATGACTCGCCAATAATGCACACAACGTTCTCGATGTACTTCCTCTGTGTAGGGAATTTCAAATCGAACATATGTGTGTGTACATTCATTTTTGGAATTTAACACATGACAACAATTCATATTTGTGTACAATAAGAGCCACTTACAACTTCCTGTGCTTGTCGATATGTAGGTTATGTATGCTTGTCCTTGGGCGCAATAAGTTATAATGCCTCCACAAATTGTCTTTAGCATCATACACAACTATCGTCCAGTGGAAGTCATGGTGCAATGGGAATAGTAGGTATCTCTCTCCTTGATAGTTTTTTACATGTGCATCAATGTGTTTACTTCTTTTGCGAGGATGGTACTCTCGTATCACTTTCTGTACACATTGGACAAATAATTAATGGACTGTGAAGTTTCAACTTCACATTAGCAAAAATGGAGTGTTAGATTTTACCAAACACATGCTCGTGAAGATGAATGATGCTTCATCTGAAGTTGGATTGACCACATCTTGTTGTTCATGTAATAGTTCGGCATATGCATCTATGAGCTGCACAAACATAGGGTCGTATTATATTATTTGTGGTAGGTGAACAATGTGTGTCTGTGGCTGTGTGTGTGTGTGTGTGTGTGTGTTTGTGTATATATGCATGAACAGTGAATCATCTTCGTAACGGCATACATTGTTGTGTATCGATTCCTCCTTGATAAGGTTCACAATGTCATCAAAATACACGTATGTAGACTTCGTGTCTCCTTTCCACACAAGCAGCCTTTGCATTTTAAACAAACCAATGTGAATATTAACATTGCACAGTTTTGAACAAATCAAATAAATAAGCACAGTGGTGAATATTCACAATTATGGAATGTGAATGTTGACATTAGATGTTTGTACAGTCACTTACTCATCGCCTCCACTCTTTTGTAAAGCCTGGACCTTTTGCTTGTCGTGTTTGGACATCATGCTCCAGACTTTGAACTTGTTAGTCAAGGTTAATAATTTTTTTGGGTGCTTCGTTGGTGGGTGTTTGTCCACATCTTCAACAATGTCGACTTTATAGGGCTATTTTTGGCCAGGTAAGTCTGGGTACTGGAAGTCAGACAAGCGATACTCTTTTCAATCTTTCTCCTTGATACGCTTCACCCTAGAAAGTGAGCTGAGATTGTGTTGCATTGGGGGGGAGGGGGGTTTGCTTCTGCGCCTCAGCTTTTGTGACAATGTGGACTGACTGATCATCGTAAAGGTCCTGAAGAATTGTTTTCTCGCATTCTAAGTCGATGACCAGCTGCGTTAAGCCCTTAATTTCTTCATCCTTCTGCTCCATGCACTTTTTTATTTCAGTATTCATGTTTGGTGGCCTTGATAATTGTTGAACAATTTATGTTCAAGATCAGCTATGACTCTTGCCCTTAACTCCCATAAAAATTAAGGTCCTGAAGAATTATTTTCTCACATTCTAAGTCGATGACCAGCTGCGTTAAGCCCTTAATTTCTTCATCCTTCTGCTCCATGCACTTTTTTATTTCAGTATTCATGTTTGGTGGCCTTGATAATTGTTGAACAATTTATGTTCAAGATCAGCTATGACTCTTGCCCTTAACTCCCATAAAAATTGAAGATGTTTGTAATTTGCTTTCCACTGCCTTATGATACCCCAAGCCTTACAATTTTCTTTAACAATCATATCGATGATGTAGGGTTGGCTTGTGTTTACTATGATAATAGCTCTCTCATCATGTGGGCTGCTAAAGGGAATGTGAATGTTCTCATTACTATCATTTAGTTCAACTCCATCCCCAGAAAATTGAGAGTTGCTATCATTGTGTTGTTCTTCATTGATGTTAGAAAGGTTGGGAGATGTGGTGGCTGGTTCATAAATTTCGGGCTCCACCTTCAATGTTGTACGCCTAAACTTTTGTAATTCTGTTGGGGTTGCAAAGAGTTCGCCGGCATTAAACTGAAATGAAAAAGTTATGTTACTTAACGTATATATTTGGATGGTGTCATAATGTAAATGTTTTGATCAATAGTTGAAGGTCATACCTCATTAAAACCAATATCAACCAAAGAGGTGGATTTTATCTTCTTTTGTAAAGCAATCAGATCCCACTTGACACAGTGAGGAATGGCATTGGGCTTGTGAAATTATAGGATGGTTGTATGCTCACACAACTAATACTTCAACAAAACAACAAAGACATGTTATTTAGTATTTGTATAGTAATGTCAACATATGTGAACATTAACAACAGTGGCACTATTGTGAACATTCACAGCAGTATATCATGAGTGAATATGAACATTCACATCAGTTGTACAGATATGAACATTCACATCTGTGAAACATAAGTGCATATGGACATTTACATCAATGGTACAAATGTGAATGTTCACAGTTGGCATAGATGAACAACACTCAAGGACATGTGAATGTTATTATTTGAGAATATGGGTACTTACCATCAATAACATGACACAGCCGGTGACTTTTGCCAGCTTTTTGTCATTTTGGGAAATGGAGGATGTCAACGTTATTCTAATTTGCTTGACCCAATCATATTCTTGCATGCTTTCCAATGGGACCATATGTACGTAGTAGCCCCATCCTATTGTCTCACCGCTTGTCGAGAAAAAAAGTTTTTGGCAAGCATACATGCAGACAAGTCGGGCGACTTCTTCGTTGTCATCTTTCTTTTTGCCTTTCAATGCCTCGGTCAAAAGGGTGCTTATCCATTTTGAAGTCAACCGACTGACATTTTTGCACCTTCCAATCTTTGGTTTCGCACCATATGATATGTCTATTGGCTTGGAGCCACAGTCCACACCAAAAATCAACTTGATATCGTTGTCGTGTATGTTCATCTTCTTTTCTCCAATGTAGAAGGCATCTTTTGAAGCTTTGTATATTTGTAGGACATGCACAACAACATCATCGTACTTCATGCATTTGTCAAGATCGATCTCACCATTTCTCAATGCATCTAATAAATGCCAAAAAGGTGTTTTCCGCAGGCAGCCAAGCTGTGCTTATGTGAATTTGGTGTTTTTCATTAATTTCACTAGTCCAGTCATGTTAGATATGTAGTTGACACGCCGCATGTCAACATTGCTGCTAGTATTTGCTTGTACGCTTTCTTCCTTGACATGGTACTCATATCTTTTTCTCTTTAAGGTTTTTTTCTGTGCAATATCTGCAAAATGGAGCATTAAAAAAAATTAAGACAAGGCTCATGTGATTAGCATAGTGGAACAGATGTGAACATTCACAGCATTACCATTGATGTGAATGTTCACAGTTGTATGCATGCGTGTGAATGTCCACAGTTTTGTGCATGGATGTGAATGTTGGCTGTGTCAGCACAAACACAATGTGCATATTGTTTGAGTGTGTAAAAATCAATGTATATTTATACAACCATGAACAACATTCAAGAATACGTGGATGTTAACACAAACATATAAAAAGATGTTGTAAACATTTACAGTTCTAATTTGTGACAATGCACATTCTTACTACAATCATGCAATGCCAATCTTATAATACAACCTCAAAATTGAAATACAATTTCAAATATGGGATAACAAAAGTGATATATTTCCTCTAAACACAGTGGTTAATGTTCACAAAGTGTCTAATTAATTTACACATGTAATGAATGTTCACAACATAATTATGTATCACAACAACATCTAACACAAAGAATTTTAAATGTGAATGTTCACTACAGTTAATAACAACAATTTAATAGGGGGGGGAAGGATAGTGTCAATATTCGCAGGGACTGTATTTCATGCCACTTTCATGGAAAATAATCAAGAATTGAAGGTTCAAGTTATTGTATTACCATTAACAATTAACAATACCAACGAGGCAAATATTCACAAAAGGAAAAAAAAAATAACTACAATATTACAAAATAATGATTGACTAAACATTTTCAATCCATGTGAATGTTCACAGCTTTCAACAATAACAACAATAATATCTGAAATAATTTGATTGTCCAAACATTTTCAATCCATGTAAATGTTCACAGCTTTCAACAATAACAACAACAACATAAACAATTTGGTTTGGCCAACATTCTTCCAAACCATTTGAATGTTCACAGTTGTGAACACAACATAATGGCAACTGTAATATTTTTGAGTGAAAAAATCAATATAATTAGAGATTATGATTGAGGGGTTCAGATTAAAGATTAGGGTATGAACAATATGGACTCCTATATATTGTATCAATAGAAATAGGGAATATTTATGAAAGTTCATAATGTTGTTTGTTGAAAAAGAGATTTAGGGTTTACATACACGAATGAGTAACTTACTTACGTTTTTTTCCCATTTCGACGGTTACATTGTCACAAATTGTCGTCGAAGGTGATTATGATGAAGATAGACCTTACGGATGTTCAACAATGGTGATTCCACGATTTCGGCGACCGACGACGTAGGGATGACGAAGAAGATGATGAGACAATGCGACGATGAAACAATGAAAGTCTTCTAGGCGTTGAGACGATATGGAATACAGCTTTAGATTTTTAGAATGGTGGAGATATTGTGCGTGATTTTCCGCAAGAAGAGAGGGGAAGAGAGACGGTTATTTGATTCAAAGAAAGGATAGGCGCGGGTTTGTTTAAGGGTTTTTTTGGTCTTTTAGTATGAAGTGAACCTAATGAAATATTACAAAACACTATGGGTCTTATGGAATAACACTCTCAGATAATGGATTTACTGAAAAGCACCCTTTTTTTAATATATGATCAATGTGGGGTGAGATGCTACATCTGGGAATTGATCCGCGATTTGGATTTTTTGTGTGACCTGTAGATAGTGAAGGAGCCAAAAAATTAAATTAGAGAGGCATTTATTAATTACAATATCGAAAAAATTTACAAAAATATTTCACGCGAGTTTTTACGATTAATTTCGAGAAACATCAGAAAAATAATGTTATTTATAACTAGTGTATCATGGACAATACAAAAAAATATAGATATAAGTCTTAAAATAAATTATATAATGATAAATTTTTTTATACAAAATTTGATTAAAAATTCAATCTAATAGTAATACCACGTCATCATTGATATGTGATATCACCAATTAATAATACATAAACAAATAGAGAGTGAACCTCATATGTCAAATGTAACTAGCAATTCAATAAATTTCATATCATTATAGTGAGATTACTTATACTTGCATGTCAATAATAATAACATTACCGTTACATTCAAAAAATTTCATAGATAATATAGTTTATAGTAGTCTCTTCATTTTCAATTAAAACAACTATTATTGTTCTCATAATTTTTAAAATGTCATTGGCATTTCACTCTAATAATATTTTTATAATTTTTTTTATTTAAAATATTTTTGAGGGTTTTTTTGGTCTTTTAGTATGAAGTGAACCTAATGGAATATTACAAAACACAATGGGTCTTATGGAATAGCACTCTCAGATAATGGATTTACTGAAAAGCACCCTTTTTTAATACATGATCAATGTGGGGTGAGATGCTACATCTGGGAATTGATCCGCGATTTGGATTTTTTGTGTGACCTGTAGATAGTGGAGGAGCCAAAAAATTAAATTAGAGAGGCATTTATTAATTACAATATCGAAAAATTTTACAAAAATATTTCACGTGAGTTTTTACGATTAATTTCGAGAAACATCAGAAAAATAATGTTATTTATAACTAGTGTATCATGGACAATACAAAAAAATATAGATATAAGTCTTAAAATAAATTATATAATGATAAATTTTTTTATACAAAATTTGATTAAAAATTCAATCTAATAGTAATACCACGTCATCATTGATATGTGATATCACCAATTAATAATACATAAACAAATAGAGAGTGAACCTCATATGTCAAATGTAACTAGCAATTCAATAAATTTCATATCATTATAGTGAGATTACTTATACTTGCATGTCAATAATAATAACATTACCGTTACATTCAAAAAATTTCATAGATAATATAGTTTATAGTAGTCTCTTCATTTTCAATTAAAACAACTATTATTGTTCTCATAATTTTTAAAATGTCATTGGCATTTCACTCTAATAATATTTTTATAATTTTTTTTATTTAAAATATTTTCTTTACGCTTGCAAAATTTAAAAAAAAAAAAAGAATTCCAAAATCCAAAGAATAATATTTTTATAATTTTTTTTATTTAAAATATTTTCTTTACGCTTGCAAAATTTTTTAAAAAAAAAAAGAATTCCAAAATCCAAAGGGGGCACGTGACTCCCTTGAGGCTTCACTCCCTCCGCCACTGCCTAACAGACTATATGATTTGTTGGAGTAGTATGAATCCTTATAATTTTTGAAGGGTATTTTGATATTTTTGTATTCGTGTCTTGTTGTCCTAATTTTATGTATTTCCAATTGAGGGAGTCAACTATTTTTGTATTTATAATTCTCTAATCATAATAAAACTGCAATAGTCATAAAGCATGCCTAATTTTAAGATGAATTACGTAAATTTTTATATTTATGAGTATTTGTTTTATTTTTTATTTGTGCTTCACATTTCATCAATCATAATTAAGTGTAACGATTGACGACATGATGAACGTGGGCATTGCACCATTGATGACCCTACAGTGGGCCTTAGCCAGCTTGCATGCCAAATACATGGTTTGAAAAAAAATAAATAATAATACTAATTTGAGGACGTCAATGCCAGAGAAATTTCTCAACATTTGAAATCTATGGGCATATTAGTTCTAAATATGACCTCACAAGTTTAATTTACACTACATATTTTAAATTTAGACATTCCTCTTAAACTTTTTTGCATGTAAGATTTTTGAAATGTAAGTATGCTTTGGGAAGAAAAAAAAAAAGTCAGCTTTTATCTTTTTATCTATTTGAGTCACATCATCTCTCATATTTTTTGCTCACAAAAAGACAAAATAAATTAAAAAAACTAAAAAAAATTAACTTTTTACCAACTTCCCAAAATACTATGTAGATGGGCCCGTTTGGAGTCTTGGCTTTTTGGTAAAATAGCTAAAAAAATTAAAACACTAAATCATGTCACTTTTTTTATACATTTTTTTTATAAAAAATCAAAAAATCAATTTAAATAATCACTTCTCAAACACCTATGCCCTACCACTGTTAAAAGATCCAAAATGAGGCCAAAACTTGGATACACATGAAACATGGGAAATGGGTAAGTCATCAATACACAGTTAGAATATGTACTGAGATGAATATGCTAAGGCGAGTAAGAAATGGAAATGTTAAAAAGATGATGTCAATCGTACATCATTGACATGCCAGATGGGTAACAAAATAACTGAACTGTGTAGTCCCCCACCGCACTTGTTTTTTTTTTTCTTTCTTTTCTCTTATTTAAATCCAAGTCCAATTATGGAAAAATCATAATAGCCCAAGAGCACCTCTCTAATCTTTATATATCCATTCTTTTCTATAGCTACCACAACACCTCTTGTCATGGAAGAACTAGACTGCCTTCCTTCATCTTCCACCACCACCACTACCTCCTCCTCTTCCACCACCACAAGCTCCTCTTTTTTGTCAAATTCTCATAGTTTAAACTCTTGTTCAAGTTTCAAAAAAACTACAAGGAGTGCTCCAGAAGAGAGCAAGGCTAAAAAAGGCTTGAAGAGAGTTCTTCAAGAGGTGAAAAATGGCAATGAGGATAGGAAGAGGCACAAAAATGGGGGTGAGAGCAAGCATCCGACTTATCGTGGAGTAAGGATGCGTAGTTGGGGCAAATGGGTGTGTGAAATTCGCGAGCCGATGAAGAAATCAAGAATATGGCTCGGGACATACCCAACGGCTACAATGGCGGCTCGAGCCCATGATGTGGCAGCTTTAGCGATCAAAGGTGAGTCAGCATATCTCAATTTCCCTGAGTTGGCTCATAGACTCCCCTGCCCTGCCAGCACCTCACCCAAGGACATCCAAGTGGCGGCAGCCTCGGCCGCCACTTCAACCACACTCTCATGTGAAGCTGAGCCAAGCCAAGCCAAGCTTCCTAGTTCTCGCTCCTCAACTACTTTTTCATCAGATAACGATGACGACGACAACGACGACACTTTTCTTGATCTACCTGATCTCTCTCTTGACGCCACGGATCCAAGCGATAAGTATATTTACTATGCTTCATCATGGCAGCTGGCTGGAGTCGACACGGGTTTCCGACACGAGGAGCCCTTTTTATGGGAGTAGTATTAGCTATATAGTACTAGTGCTTAGAAGCCTCGTGTCAACAGTACTAACTTTCAGGTATGATTGTCATATGGTCAGTGCATTGTCCAAATGTGGAAAGTGATTATGATGTTTATATCTGATAATTTGAGTTTGGTTTCTTTCTACTTTGGCTCAGTTTTTTATTTGAAGCATGAAAGGGTGCTAACATGCGCCTACTAATGTGTAAATGGTTGTTAACTTTCATCTATATAAGAATTTGAGCATATTGTATACATAAATAAAGAAATCACAAGTTTCTATGCAAGTATATGAATGTACTGTCATTGGAATAATATCTTGGGCAAGGTTTGTCGTTTTATCTTTGGAAGAGTTTAAGGGGGTTTAGTGCATTTGCCTTTTTAACTTACATTTTTTTAGGATATTAAGACTAATTTTCATCATATACACAAAATGGCATAAAACATGTAATATTAGTTAAACTTGACATGTCTCACTATTGAGCATCGAACTTATGAAATTTATATTTACGATTCATTTTATAATTCAAACAATCATTAAGTTACTTGTGTTAGTAGCACAATCTCATTCCATAATAACTAATCCTTATTAAATTTAGATTCTTCTCATTATTTTGGTTGAAATGTAATTCACTTAGCCTCCGTTTGGGAAGTGGGTTGACTTTTTGACTTTTTGGCTTTTTCGGCTATTTTAGTCTGGGCTTAAAAGCTTGGTTTGAGAAGGGCTTTTTGACTTTTTGACTTTTTTGAGTTTTTTTGTGAGAGAAGAATGTAATGATTATGGGTTGGATGTGATGTTTTGTTTGTTATGGTTAAAATAGCTTATTTTATTTTTTGTGACTAAAATAACCAAAAAAGCCTGCAAACCCACTTGCCAAACACAGGCTTAATGAAATGCATCATATGATTACACTACATTTGCTTTCATACTTTTATCTATCAAATCACAAAAAGAGGGTCCGTTTGGCAAGTAAGGTTGGGGCTAAAATAGCCACAAAAGACAAAATAGGCTATTTTAGCCACAACAAACAAAACATCACATCCAACCCATAATCATTAAACTTTTCTCTCACAAAAAAAGTCAAAAAAGTCAAAAAGCCCTTCCCAAACCAAGCTTTTTAGCTCAGGCTAAAATAGCTAAAAAAGTCAAAAAGCTAAAAAGGCAACCCACTTCCCAAACGGAGGCAGAATCTCTATGTAAAGAGGATTCATTAATTGTAGAATATTTTTACCTATTACAAAAAGTATCTAAAAACTTATTACAAAAATAAAATATATTAACTAAATTTATTCTAAATGCAACTCACCCTATACTAAATTTAAATTTACACCATATACTTTATTTTTTTTAAAAACAATTAAAATATTATTTTAAAATACATATTTTTTTCAATTTTTCCTACCTCGCTTTTTATACTATGATTAAGCAATTGAGACGATGCCTATAGCAAATACACAAGTGCCCAAGGAGGTGACAGCATCTTCTAAGCAAAGTAGATTTACCTTTTTCAAAAAAAAAAAAAAAAAAAAAAAAAAAAAAGGGAAAAAAAATCTATCTCTCTTTATTAAAAGAAGAATTAATTAAGCAAAGCAAAAGAGTATTCTATGCCCTATTACGCATTATTTAAGCCACTATTTGCTAGTGATAACTGACCTCACCATCACATTCTCTCTCCTCCATTGTCTATTCCACCATCATTTTGGTCACAATTCAATTAGGAGGCTATATGGTGGCTAGAAAAGGTACAAATTATAATATCTGTCTTCTCAACAAATCTTGCATATACATATACATATACAAATTGTTGTCCTTGTCCCCACAAGGAGCTTAATTATTTGGGTGACATTTCTGAATTCAAAACCATTATCAAGATATGGGCCCAACCTAATTTAGAGATATTTTTAAATGAATCCAATGGGAACAGAGGGAAATCAAAGGAATTTGGAATCTCAGGATTATTTTGTAGCTAATATTGTATTCAATCCTGACAGTTGAAAACACCTTTGGACATTACTTCTAGTCACTTTTACTTGATTATGTTCAAAATAAATGTGTACCACAGATTTTTTTTTTTTTTATTACTTAAATAAATAGTAAATGGTAAACAATATTAAATGGCATCTAATGAATCCAATGAGAAAAGCTAGAGAAAGGGTAGAAATTTATAATTTCATAATAGTTGGTAGTTGATATTTTATTCAAGATTATCTCAGATATGGTAGATTTGTAAAGGAAAAGAAAAAGAGATGAAAAAAGTGAGGGACAAAAAAAGTTTCAAATTGATTCGCTTGATCTTTTCTATTATCTTAGTAAAAAAATTTATTAATTCAAAATTCAAACACATACTCAAATTCTTCCAATCTCTATTACAAGTGAAGAAAATCAGCAAATCATTAAAAAAATAATGGTATGATTGCAATATTTCTATATTATTAATGAGGAAAAAGACTTAGACATTTTATATCATTGGCAATCCTTTGTTTCATTTTCTTCGCAATCATGGTGTTAACCGATTGATAATGACACTATTACCTATACGACTATCCATAAACAATAAAGTTTGAGAAGTTATTTGGCCATTTTAAAGTAATACTTTGCACTACTCATTACATGACACATGTGATGTTATTTCTTGAAAACAATGCAGAAGTACTAAAACATTATTGTTTTAATTAATAAAAATACTTGCTCCATATTCACCATATAATTTTCAGATAAAATTAGTAATAATTAATGATATGTGTCGCACCCCACTTTTTATTACTCAGGTAATATTACCAAATCCTTTATTATAATACAATTCCAGAGATAACGTATGGAACTTCAATGCATCAATAAAGATAATTAAGTAAATGTTCTCTCATTCGAATACATAACAAATGTAACATAAGACATAATTACAATAAATTACCCACAAGCTTACATCAATACATGAAAGAGAAAGGGATTCAACCCTTTTTACAACAATGGCATTCAGCCAACAATTACAAGGCCCCATGGCCAACAGATAATGAAGTTCCTTAATCTTGAAACACTTCTCAATATTCACTTGAAAAAAGATTAGCAACATGGGATGAATATAAAGTCCAATAGGAATCCCAACATGATCCTAAACAATAACAACATAAAGATAGCTATGATCATGAATGTTTTAAGTCATACCATATACATAAGTATCGGTTTATACATGAAGATATACTTACATAGATTCTTTTCCCAAGATCATTCGATTTATTCAACAACACGGACCATTCGCTTTTCTTTCTTCTTGTTACCTCATTGTTTTAAACTCGCCAAACAATAACAAGTATCTGAAAACAAATTCACAAAGTCCAATTTCTCTTTCCCCAATTACCGAACTTAAACCCAATTCCAAATTTAAATTTCTAGATAGAAACATCCCAAACGAACACGATGACGATATGTATAAAACACTCCTTACATAATCATTTAAGATACTGACATCCTCAACAAAATAATCATCTCAGAGCATGATACACATAAATGGAACCACAATGATAACGAAAAACCCAACAACGCTCTACTTGTCTCAAGTACGATAAGCCAAGGATACACCTTTCCAATACCCATGCCAATTCACCAGTCGCCAGCGCTGGTAGATAATGGTACCTCTGCCAAGTTCTCCAAGCGCTAGCTGGAAGGTGCTGGCACCCCACATTCTTAGCGCAGCCAATTCTCCAAGCGCTAGCTGGAAGGTAATGGTACCTCTTATTCTCAACGCGTGCATATTTCCAACCATCACATAACAAACAAGCATAATTCAAGTGTACTACATGCACAAAATTTGTTCAACCAATACAAATAATTCTAAGTATACTACATACACATAATCTATTCAACATCACAATGTCATCCTCCACTGATGACCAAGGACAAAACCTCTAAGCATAATTATTTAAAAACACATCATACGATAATCCAATGCTCATTTGACCTCAAGACCAACAACCATGATAATAATATTCAAAGATTTCAAAATTCAACCTCTAGTTCATCTCTACATGTAAAATATACCATGGTTTCTTTCTCTTTTCAAAATCAACCCTTTTTATTTTCCAAGTTAACATGCCCGAGTCCTTTTCATTCCAAAAACCAATTTCCACTTTTCAATAAAATCACATCCATGAATTCCAAGCCATAACTCAACTTAACTTAACATGGTTATCCAATTAAATTCTAATACCAAAATTAATTCACCCTTTATGCTAATAACACAATAACATAACTCAAATTATCAAAACACAACCATTATTCAACTTTACCCATTTTTAATCCATCAAGTCAAAAGATGAAATTAGGGTCTTTTCTCTGTTTCAACATAGGCAAGATGAGCTACCCTTCCATTAACCCAAACAACAATCAATTTTCCAATTTCTACTCCAAACATTCAAATCCTAGACCCTCTTATATGATTTTCATGCAATAAAAGATACCGCATGTCTATCTATAGGAGAAGTATTAAAAATGAGCAAAAGAATCCCTACCTCAAGCAATGAAGAGGAGAAAGCCAAAAATCCAACTTTAACGAAAACATGATCCGCTCAGATCAAATGGAAGCCCTCGTCGAGCTCAACGTTTTGGTATATGGAACTAGGAGTCAAAGATGTATAAAAGTTGATGAAAACCAAGGAGAAAGAGCTTGAGAGCTCAATAATGGTGGAAGGAGAGAGAAGAGAGAGAGAAAGGTGATCCAGATGTGACCAAAAGTGACTTTTTTAGTTGTTGAACTCGGACAGTCCGCTCGAGCGCAAGAAGTGTCGCTCGAGCATCCAGACACGACAAGTGTGACCGCTCGAGCGCAAGAATCATCGCTCGAGCGAAGAATTCACCCTCCTAGTATTTTTGCAGACTTGTAAAAATACTGAGAGTTTTCAAACACCGCTCGAGCGCAAGAAGCTTCACTGGAGCGTAAAGACAAAATTCAGGGCAACAGTAGATTTAGAAACATGCAACCAACCTACTCCAAATGCAACCAGCACACCCTGATAACCAAATTCAATGAGGAATAAGGGGAAACAAGACATGAACAACCATATAAGACAATGAAACCCAGATCCAAAACAACAACGGGTCGGATCTAAACTACAATCGCTATAATATGTATATATATTGTCCCAGATTTATCAACCATGAAGATTGTCTAGAAATGAGTGTGTGGTCTAGATGAAAAGTTGTGTTGTGAGTCACACTTAAAATGAATCTCATCCACACAATTTGAATTTGGCTAAATTTTAAAATTTTTTTCCGAAGTTTGTAGTGTTGCTC